GATTGTATTCAATACTTAGATCCCATTTGTAAGCAACTCAGAAAGGACTGCCTTAGAATTTGTTTTAACCTTGAACTCGTTCCAATGATCTAAGCTCTTAAAATTTAGTTATTAATTATTAAGTACATTTCAAGTGGCTTTTATTACACTTCACAGTTTAAGCACTCATGACTAGAGAGGGAACTCAGGCATAGTAAAAATAATGCCATTATCAACAAGTCTTCTTGGAACTTTAAAATGCCACTCTCAATAAAATCAATGACTTAACCATAAAACCAAATCCAAAATGTGAATTAATTATGGTTATAGAAAAGCATCAAGAGATCAGGAAAAAAAAAGATAGTCTTCCTCTGCCATAAATGAAAGCATTAAAGCGCACTGAAATCTATGTGCATCCTTAATGTTTTACTAAGGAAAATACAAGCCTTTTGTTATATTGGTGCGCTGCCCTATGTGCTTATGCCACAGAAAGCTTAAACTAAAAGCAGGAAAGCATAACGTAGGGAATTTTAAAGCTGAAGGAGACCCAGCTCAAATACAGGCACTCCAGCTCATGAGAATTCGACTTAAAATTTTTCGCAGTGGCAGCAAGCCTCAGCCCCTAGTCAGCCCTGCCATCATGAGGGTAAACAACTCATATGCTTACAACTGTTCTTTATCCACACAGTCACTCAGTTTTTCACTTTCAGTACAATATTCAATAAATTACATAACATATTCAAAACTTTTGTAGTAAAATGAACTTTGATAGATTTTGCCCAACTCTAGGCTAATGTAAGTATTGTGAGCATGTGTAACATAGGTTAGATGTATTAAATGACTTCTCAAATTACAACATTTTCAATTTATGATGGGCTTATCAGGACATAACCCCATCATAAATTGAGGAAGATCTGTACAGCAATTTTCAAATTGGTATTCTATGTAATTATATTCAGGATGTTAACAGGTTGGTCATTAGAAAAGTCTTTCTGGCCAGGTGAGACTGCTTTAAGCCTATGTGCTCCCAAATTATTTGTCATGGAACACTGTTTTGGGGGCAGTAAAGCAGTTCCTAGATTGAGAAGAGGGTTCAAGGAACATCAGTCTGGAAAACTCTGATCTTATGAAATTTCCTTAAGCGGATGACAAAACTGAGGCCTAGAGAGATCACATCTGGTTAGCTGGAGAAGAAAGAAAGCGAACAAAATCTTTCATTCCCAGGCCAGAGCTCTTTCCACCACTTTAACTACAAAATAAGGCTCTTCAAACTGTATGTAGTCAAACATTTAATTTATGTTTAACATTTTGGTTATGGTGTCACATTTTCTGGCTTGTGTATTAACTTGGGCATTTTTAGTTCTTCAAGAAATGGGTTCCTAATAATTAGATACACCTGGAGATTTACTATTGTTTAGTACTAATGAGGAATGATTTCGTTCAGAGTGGCAGCTTTAAGGAATCACTGAAATAAAGCATCTATACTACAACTGGTTTTAATTTACTTTTGTTATAACTTCTGTCAGCTCAACTAAATGACTTTGTTATTAGGTGGTGAATTTCTTAGCATATAACGTCAACATATGCTGTCCATGAGAACATAGGAGACCTGTCTGCGTAGAAGAAAGCCAACAACAACGAAATCGAGAGATTTTTGTCTTTCTACAGTTCTGGGCTTATTTGTCAAGCAAACACTTGGTTTCTTATCCTTTTGGTAATTAATAAAAAAAATGTTGATTGCTTTAACTAAGTCTCCAAATCAGATTATCACAGTGTTTCTCAAACTCCAGAGAACTGTAAGATAGTGTCAAACAATTCGTTCAGCTTTAAAGTAGTTGTGTACCACTCCCCCTCCCCTACTTCAGGGTAGGGGAGAAGACTGGACGAAACCAACAAGTAACTATTGTTATGCTGCAACTTTAAAAGGCTTGAGAATCAAAGGTGATAATGGTTAACAACTTCCTTATGACTAACCTGACTTCCTCTAATAAACTTCTGCACTCCTTTCCAACCCCCCACATGGAACATTAACGATGGCAGACATTCTTGTCTCCTCAATCTTAAAAGAACCCACCAGATGAAGGAGACCGCACGAAGCCTGGATTCCACCAACAAAGAGGTTACTCCGCGCGCCTTCATCTCACAGGTGCGACCTCCACCCCAACCTTGCGCACCGCTGGGCCCCGGCGCAGGAGGCTCGGAAAGCAGCCACCCCTGCCTGGGACCGCCCTCGAGCCTCCTCCCGGCCCCGACCCGCCGATCCCCGCGCAGCTCCCGCCCCTCCGGAAACCCGAGGGCTGCCGGCCGGTTCCCAGGCTCCAGGCGGGGCCAGGGCGGCAACACCCCCGGCGCCACAGCAGACTGCCCCTCGGGGCGTCCCCGAGGCTCCGGAACCAGCCAGGCCGAGGAGGCCGCTCAAGGCCGGCAGCCGGCCTCGCGACAGCGCTGGGGGCGGGGACGCTGTTACCTGCCGTGGGCTCGGCCGCTCCCCGCCGGCGCCGCTCTCCTGGCAACCGCGGCAGCGACGCGGAGGCCGAGAGCCGAAGGGCCTAGTGACAGCTCCCAGCGTGCACTGCGCCCGCGCCCACGCTAGCGTCGACGTCGACGACCCGCGATCCCCGCCCCCGGTCCGTGCCTAGCCTCCCGGCGCAAGCTGTTGCCACAGCGCCCTCAAGCGGACGGTCGGGGAAGCCGCTCATGGCAACCAACCATTCGGATGGGCCTGGAAAGGGAATAGCGGATGTTTTCAACTCGCCAGCGTCAGCTACATCTTAATGGAGAGTTGGAAGGAATGCTAGGAATTGAGAACAGCTTTTATATATTATTTAAACAGCCATTTAAGTGTTATTTGAACGATTCCTCAATATTTCATATGGGGAACTTGAAGCCCAGAGAAGTTGGGAGACTGATGAAGTTAGCAGATAAATAGTTGTCATCAGGTTTAGAAATATTTTGAGTTTATGTCTCTCTAAATCATGTAGCTACTACGAGGAAGATTGCACTGTGTTGCCTAAACCGTAGGGTCAAAGGAAAAAAAAGATTGTTTTTTTGCAAATGTGTATACGAAATATATATATATATATATAATATGTATTATATATATAATATAGATAAAAATGTGTATATGAAATATAGCAATATAGCAATCTTTAAAAATAATCAAACACCCAAGTATGAAGACCATGCTGTGCTAAGACAAATATTTCCATACAATGTGGCAGCATTTAAGACTTAATAGCTTTGAGAACTGAAGGTGGAAGGTATTAGGAGTTGAAATCATCACTCATGATCACCATTATTTGAGGTGGAATAGTAATAAACTTAATTCTTTTAACTTCGTTGTTATCTCCATCCATGATTTTGAATTACTGTGGTGGATACAGGAATTTGTGAAGCACCACAATAAACTTTATGAACTGCAGATACTGATTTCAGAAAATTTGTCTTAAAATAGTATCTCTAGGGAAGTGGATTTGTTATTTCGAAAATCTTCCTACTGAGAGGCTGTCAATAAACATGATTTTACTAAGACAAGTCATCACTGTTTCTGTTTTTAAAACCTAACAGTCTCTTGGTTTTTGTTTGTTTGTTTTTTTAAGATTTTATTTTTAAGTAATCTCTGCACCCAACCTGGTCTCGAACTTAATAACCTGGAGATCAAGCCTCCAATGCTCCACTGACCAAGCCCTGAGCCCCTTGTTTTTAAAGAATTCTTTTAAAGAATCCTTCTAAGTTTACCACCCTAGCCTTATATCTTAATATTACCCTATTTTAAGTATTCTCACCACCACTTAAGTACTTACATTTTAATAGATCTTTTTCTTTACTAGGTGAAACTTTGTGAAATTATCTTCTAGCACCAATAACATTATGACTTCTGTCAATCAGGTTTTACTTCTATAAAACGTGGGGAGTGTAAATGTACCTGTGGAATCATTATCTTCCTTTTTTCAAAGACTATAGGAATAGCTAATCTTGTGATTCATGGTACTGGATTTACCCGCACACTCTTCTGTATAGATAACAGAAAACCTTTTTTTTTTTTTTTTAATTTTTATTTATTTATTTGAGAGAGAGAGGGAGAGAGCAAAGAGGGGAGAGGGTCAGAGGGAGAAGCAGACTCCCTGCTGAGCAGGCAGCCTGAGGCAGAATCTTCCTTGATACGCAGGGCCCCGAGATCTCGACTGCCAAAGGCAGTTGCTTAACCAATTGAGCCACCCAGGCGCCCCAAGATAAGAGAAAACTTAACATTTTTGCAACTGTTTCTATCTTAGAGCCAATTGTGTCTAAATGCAGAAGTAATGTCAGGTCAATCCTGGACATTCGTCGCCTCGAACAGCGGAGAGCTACCAAAGAACTGACATGATTCGTAAAAATGATACTATAGTTGATTTAAAAATGAAACAAGGGGCGCCTGGATGGCTCAGTGGGTTAAAGCCTCTGCCTTCGGTTCAGGTCGTGATCCCAGGGTCCTGGGATCGAGCCCCACGTCGGGCTCTCTGCTCAGCGGAGAGCCTGTTTCCTCCTCTCTCTCTCTGCCTGCCTCTCTGCCAACCTGTGGTCTCTGTCAAATAAATGGGTAAAATCTTTAAAAAATAAAAAAAAAAATAAAAAATAAAAAAAAAAATAAAAATGAAACAAGATTGTGTTTTGGGTGAATATATCTGCTCTCCAACCTCCTGGGGTCAGTGCCCTCCTATATCTTCTCCTTCCATCATCCCTCTCCCCTCCAGCTTCCTTCTTACACCTGTACTCGGCTCGGATTTTTAAGGTCACTTCCTGGGAGACTACCGCGCCGGGCCACGCCCACAAGAGGAAGCCGGGAAGGACAGTTTGCCTCTCGCTGCTCCACCTTTGTCCGCGCTCCGACTCCCGCAGGGACTTGAAAACGCTCACGCCCCCAGGTCGAGTCTCGCGGCAGCGCGCTCTCCGCCCGGCAGGCGGCGCTGTGGGCTGGCAGGCTGTGTCGGCCCAGGAATCTGGTCCCGGACGCCCGCCCAGCCGCCGCACCGCGGCCGCCACAGCCGCACGTGCAGCCGCTTCTGGCCCTGCTGGCCCCTAATCCCCTGAACCTGCGCCTGGGCGCCGGCTATGGCGGCAGCTGCAGCGGGGACGCGCGTGTTCCTGGAGGTGCGGAGACGGCTGCAGAGCGCTCTGCTGATCCTGGGGTAAGGCCGGCGCTGGGCGTGTGGGCAGCTAGGCGCGGTGTGTAGCCGCGTTTCTGCTGCGTTCTGCGTTCCGCTGTTTCTGCTTGTCAGGGAGCCTCCATCTCCCTCCAAAGAACGGAGTTTTGAGTTTCTTTCCAATTGCTTAGAACCTGTCATTTACTCAAAGTGGAGTTTCCCCTCCCACCCCTCGTGCTTTTATTCCCCCGTAATCTCTGCATCACCTGGGAGCTTTTTTAGAAATGCAGAGTCTCAGCCCCACACCAGATCTGCAGAATCAGAACTTATATTTTAACACGCTTTCCAGGACTCAAAATACACACTAAAAAGTCTGAGGAGCACTGATGTAAAGTAACAGTGCCAGGCTTTTCCAAAAACAGTGCCCTCCCCCCCGAGTGCCTTGCCCGCTTCTTTTGGGGATCCTCATTAGAGGATAAGGTTCAATGTGAGAGCTTCCTGTTTTGTACATAAACTCGGGTTGGTGTCCCCCCCCCCCCCCACGCTGTCGTCTGCAGCAAAACTGACACGTTCACTGAACGACTAACAAAGGTTGCAGACTTCTTATTGGAGCTCATTCTTATATTCGCATTCCGCGTTCCAATGAGAAGTCACCAAACGTTTCACTTGTTATTCACTACACCTACAAGAAACTTTTAGAAGAAAAGTTCCCGCGTTTGCTTGGTAGTATGTGGCCCCCTCGATTATTCCCTTGTGACTGCCGTTTCAAATAGAGTAAATTAGATGTTAAAATCCTGGAACTTTTACTACTCGGGGCCGCTCAAGAGGTGGGCTGATGCTTTTCCTTAATTGTCCTTTTCCTTAAATCGTCCAGGTATAGGTGTGGCAGTTTGGGGTTTGGCATGAGAACGGAGTTCAAATCCTAGCTTTTTTGCAGGAGTAGAATCGTTTAATCTGAAGTTTTTCAATTGTAAAATACGGATGATATTTATTATTTTTTTCTTTCTCTTGTTTCTCTGTTTCTCCCTCTCCATCTCAAATCATAAATTCAGATAAGTATCTCCAATTACAGTCCACTTTGTAGGGTTATTAGTAGCCCCAAACTTAGCAAAACAAAAGCAAGACAAAGTCCCTACGTCCTGTCATCAAAGGGGACCCTCAAAGTTTCTCTAGGTTACTCTCCCTTGTTTAAGCAAGTGAAGAAACCTGACTTTGCTAGACTACTAGTAGTTTTGTCCCTAATGGTCCTTGGCTGTTGAGTTTTATCACCAACTGCCCCTCAGGAAAACAAAAACAACCACTCTTCTGATTTCACTCATTAAGGATTGGTTTTTGCCACTTCATGAACTGTATATAAAGGATTTCATACAGTATGTACTTCTTGTTTCTGACTGCTTTCCTTCAACAGTGCTTCTGGGATTCCTGTTTTATCTGTGTCTATTTTTCTCTGAGTAATTTTCTACTGTATTAATAGACAATATATCTACCCATTCTATTGCTGGATATTTTGTGTGTTTCTAGAACTTGATTATTATGAATAAAGTTGCTATAGCTTTTTAGTTGACATACATTTCATTTCTCCTAGGTAATTACCTAATTCTATTATGGTGTAAAGTCTCATTGTCATTTTAATTTGCATTTCCCTGATTAATAATGTTGAGTATCTTTTCATTTGCTTTTTGGTCATTCATACGTGTTCCTTTGGAAAGTGTCTTCTGATTTTTTGCCATTATAAAAAATCAGGTTTTTCTTATTGTTGAATTTAAAAACTTCTTTCTAGTGTCTGGAAATAAGATCTATCTTATTTATGCCTTGTGAATATGTGAACACTTACTCCCAGTCAGAAATTTACCTTTTCATTTTCCTAATAGTGTCTTTTCAGGAACAGAAAATTTTAATTATAATAAACTTCAGTTTATTGCATTTTTTTCTTTAATGGTTAGTGTTGTTCGTATTTTAAGAAATCTTTACTTACCTCAAGGTTGTAAAATTTTTCCCATGTGTTATATAGTTTTAACTTTTATATTTAGGTGAAATTCATTTTTTGTGTTTGGAGTGAGATAGGAGCCAAATTTCATTTTATTTCCTATAAGGATATCTGGTAGTTCCATCACCGTTAGTTTAAAAGAGTGCCATTTCTCCCATTGAAATAACACAATGTCTTTGTCAGGAAACCTTTGACTGTACTGTTTGGCATCATGTATGTCTTTCTTTCCTTTTACTGTTTAACATATGCCTTTATATATAAATTTTAAAAATCCTATCCTGAGTGTTTGAGTCCACTCTGATAATCTCTGCATTTTAACTAAACTTTTTAGTCTGTTTACAATTAATGTAAATGGTATGATTGAGCTTTATTCTTGTTCCTAATCTTAAATGTTTCTAGCATTTTATCACTAAGTACAATGAAATTGACTTTTGGCAAATCTATGTGGTAAATTGCATGGTTCCTTTCTATTCCTACTTTACTACAGGTTTTGATAGTGAATCTGTATTTTCTGTATTTTTACTGTATTTTCTGTATGATTTGTACATGTACTATGATTTCATTTTTTTTTCCCTTCATATTTACATCTGTGAATTGCATTAGAAAAATCTGTTATGTTAAGCCATCTTAGTATTCCTGGGGTAAACGTTGGCCATCCATTTATTCAGTGCACAGATGTTTACTGAGTTCCTATTCCAGTGCTGAAAGCTCAGATTCTAAGTGCTGGGTATCTAACTGTGAGCAGTGACAATAGCAAAGATGAAAATTCTTGGCTGTTGTTAAGCTTTTGGTCTAATGGTAGCAGTGGGTGAGAGGTGAGCAGAAATTATACAAAATAAATAAAATATATATGATATTGAAAGGAGAAAAGTACATAGAAAAAAATAAAACAAAAAGGGATAGGGAGAAAAATTATAACCCCTTATTTCAAGTGAAAAAGCAATACTTGAGTAATAAGCCCAAAGGGGAGAGGTTTAGAACTATGTAATATCTGATGAAAGACTGTTTCCCTCCAAGAGAACAGCAAGTACGAAGAGGTGCCAAGTTCAGAGAGATGTGGGTGGGCTGGTGGAGCACATAGTAAATGGTCTTACAAAGAGGTATGTTAGTAAATGTTTAACAACCTGCATTCTTAGAAAACCAATGAAACTAACAAGAAATCTTCCCAATTTGTAGCATTTACTGATTCCTGTGGTGGAGATAGTCTTTCACCATGGATGATGTCAGGCAAGTGATGTCAACTATTTTGCAAAATCCCTGGAATTTTAACAACTGTCTCCAGTATATCTGTGGGTCTTAAGGGCCATGGAAAGAATTTTAGCTTGTAATCAAAGTTTGATGGGAAGTCATTGGATAGTTTCAAGTAGGGTGTGGTATCTGAAAGAGTGTAAGTACATGGTGAAGAAAGCCTCAAGTATGTAAAAGCTGTGGACAATTAGAGTCTCAAACACTTTATTTTTGGACAGTCTCAACCTTGAGAATAAGTTACTGTCACTCCTGAATACATTACTGGGGATTGCCTACAAATAAGAACATTCCGGGGCACCTGGGTGGCTCAGTGAGTTAAGCCTCTGCCTTCCGCTCAGGTCATGATCTCAGGGTCCTAGGATCGAGCCCCGCATCAGGCTCTCTGCTCAGCAGGGAGCCTGCTTCCCCTTTCCCTCTCTGCCTGCCTCTCTGCCTACTTGTGATCTCTCTCTGTCAAATAAATAAATAAAATCCTTAAAAAAAAAAAAAAAAGAACATTCCGCCTGTAACCACCATGCAACCTTCAAAGCTGGGGAATATGTTACAACCATCTTACACTAAGACCTCACTCAAATTTTGCCACATGTCTACATAATGTCTCTAATAGTAAAAGAACACAGTTCAGAATCATGCATTGCATTTCATTGTCGTGTTTTCTTGGTCTCTTAAAATTGGAAGAGTTCCTCAGTTTCCCTTGACCTTCACAATCTTGACACTTCTGAAGATTACAGCCTAATTATTTTGTGGAATATCCTTGCCTCAAGATTGGGTTCAGACTATATATATCTCTGGCAGGAATATCACAGAAGTGATGCTGCATTCTTATTACATCCTATCAGGTATCACATGATTTTGACTTATTCCATTAAAGTTCATGTTAACTTTAAGCACGTAGATAATGTCTGCTGTCAACACTATAAAGTTACTCTTTTTTTTTTTTTTTTGTAGGGCTGTAACATTTTTATTTAGGAAAAGATTTAGTGTGAAGCTATAATGGTTCAACTTAAACCATCCCTTTTTAAATAGAGGAGTCAATTAATGCAAAATATTTTTCCTCGTCTATGAAAATGAAATTGAACAGTATTTTAATGATAAGGAAATACAAGCATACACTTTAAACTAACCAATGTGCACTGTCATAAAAGAAATAGGATGCTCTTTCCCTTCCCCTCCCTCAGCCATTCAAAGAAGAGAAGAATACTGCAAACTTTAAGAACCCTACCTACTACCATCAGAGTAACTACAGAACAAGGGGAGTGCAGGATGAAACTATTTCTCTATATTCCAGAAGGCAGAAGCTTGGGTGCTCTGGCTTAAAAGTAAAAGTAGCACAGGCAGGCAAAAGCTCACAGTAAATGCACATCAGAACAGGGCCTCGGTAAAGTTATCTGACTGGATTACTGCTTTTACAGGAAAGAAGAAAGACGAATCTGTAGTGGAGTAAACACACACACACACACACACACACACACACACACACAGAAACACAAACCTTTTGTCACATTTACAGGAATGCAAACCTTTTGTATTCCCACGCTCATGGGTAGTTTTGATATACACTGCAAAGAGCTTCAGTATTCAGGAAGAATGTTGTAAGGTTGACATAGGACACGAGAATTCTTCATGCTTCTGATATCAGATTTGTTGAATCCAATAGAAGTTCTAACTCTTCCTACTCTTAACTGATTCAGTCGGGCAAGACTCTTTTTCTCTTTATATTCCCTAAGTATTAATTGGAGAAGTCCTTTGCAACTATGTGTGAATACCCTTGTTCCTCATCAGATTTGCACTTCATTCATTCATTTATTTACATCTTCATGGACCCATGATCTTTTATTCATTGGGTTACATTTTTTTTGCTCATGTTATACCAGATGTGTCTGGGGGAGTCCCTTCAAGAGGATTTTAATATGTTCCTAATATTCTTCTTTTAATATGTTCTTTTTTAACATGTTCCTATTTTTCTTTGATTAATTTTCTTTTTTTTTAAAGATTTTTTAATTTATTTAATTGACAGAGATCACAAGTAGGCAGAGAGGCAGGCAGAGAGAGAGGAGAGGAAGCAGGCTCCCTGCTGAGCAGAGAGCCCGACGTGGGGCCCGATCCCAGGACCCTGGGATCATGACCTGAGTCGAAGGCAGAGGCTTTAACCCACTGGGTGTCACCCAGGCACCCCATGATTAATTTTCTTTCTTTGCACAGCAACATGTTCCAGGCTCATCTCATTCTTTTTCTGTTCCATCCCTGGATGTAGTTATTTTTTCAAGGAATGTTATTTTGTTTTGTGTATGTTCATTTGTTTTAAAGTGGAAAATCACTAGGGTGCCTGGGTGGCACAGCTGGTTAAGTATCCAGCTCTTGATTTCTGCTCAAGTCTCAGTGTCAGGGTCAGGGGATCGAGCCTCGCATTGGGGTCCCTTCTCAACGTGGAGTCTGCTTAAGATTCTTTCCCTCTGCCCCTTCCCCATCTCACACCTGTGTGCGCGTGTGCTCTCTCTCTTTCTCTCAAATAAATAAACTTAAAAAAAAAATTAAAGTGGAAAGTGAACTTTAGAAACCAAAATCTAAGCACAAAGTATCCTCATTTCTATTGACTGACATGTTACTCTTTCCAGGCCCTAGTGGACAAAACTAGAGTGTGTATGTGACATATACGTAATATTCATGTACAAATGTATGCACATGTATTTGTGTTTGTATATCATACGTACATCTACACACATAGACATTTGTATTACTGGATCTCTTTATATATACATTAAAAACCGTGACTCTACACAGGTATTTTCAATTCTGGTCTACCACCATAGGATCCATTCTGATTTTTTCCCTTTCCCTCTTTGTAATTCTAGTTTCCGACAGTGAGAATCCTGGCTTTTGTTATTCTCAGGACTTACATTTATTTAGTCAATTACCCTCTATGTAAGTCATCTCATGCTGGCATCCTTCGCTGCTTCCCTCCCTCTCTTCAGTCAGTGTTGACACCTTCCTCATCTGGGTTCCTCATTGGGCTCTGTTACAGAATGAATTTTTGTGTGTCCCCTCAAAATTCATGTGTTGAAGCCCTGACCTTCAATATGATGGTATTAGGAGATGGGGACTTTGGGAGGTAAGTAGGTTTAGATGAGGTCATGAGGGTGGAGCCACCACGATGGGATTAGTGCTCTTAAAAGAGGAAATACCAAAGCTGCTTCTCTTCTTCACAGTGTGAGGATACGGTGGGGTTGTGGCGGACTGCAAGCCTAGTAGAGGGCTCTCAAGGAGAACCAAATCCCCTGGCGCCTTGATCTTGTACTTCTCAGCCATCAGAACTATAAGAAATGTGTGTTGTTTAAGCCCCCAGTCTATGACGTTTTGTTTTGGCAGCCTGAGCAGTCTGAGGCAGGCTCTGGAACCCCGAGTTGCCACTCCCACCCCCTTAGACTCCTCATCCCTCTTAAGATCTGATATCTCTGCGGGGTGGCTGTCCTAGTGGATGCCCTTCTTCACCTCCACCCCAAGACTGTGGTTCTTCCACACTTGTATTGGTGCCTCCTACCTTACTCAGCCCTCTAATGGGCTGAACTTTTCATGAAGGGAAAGAAGAGTGGTCAGCCAGAGACGGCGTGGGGCTGAGGCTTAGAAACACAATTACCAGGGCAACTGGGTGGCTCAGTAGGTTAAGCCTCTGCCTTTGGCTCAGGTAGTGATCTCAGGGTCTTGGGATCGAGCCCCACATTGGGCTCTCTGCTTAGCAGGGAGTCTGCTTCCCCGTCTTTCTCTGCCTGCCTCTCTTCCTACTTGTGATCTCTGTCAAATAAATAAATAAAATCTTAAAAAAAAAAAGAAAAAAGAAACGCAGTTATCTCCCTTGAGGCACTTCTTGTGCCAATGGCACAGTCCAGTTTGAAAATCAGTGAAGTAGCAAAATGGACAAATTGTGTACCTTTAGAGCAATGTTCAGCAAACTATAGCCCATGGGCCAACTCTAACCTGTGGTGTGTTTTAGTACAGTTTATGAGCTGAGAATGGATTTTACATTATTTAAAGCATTGTTAAAAATAGAATACATAGTATAATATGCAACAGACCATATATAGCCTGCAAAACCTGAAATATATGTCCTTCTGTCCTTCTGACCTCTTCTTCAGAGGATTATTATTTCTTAAACATCAATTCTTAAAACTAGACTTTTGACTCTGGGGCACCTGGGTGGCTCAGTCTGTTAAGCACCTAACTCTTGATCTTGGCTCATGTTGTGATCTCAGGGTCATGAGATTGAGTCCCACATTGGGCTCTGCACTAAGCGTGGAGCCTGCTTAAGGTTCTGTTTCTCTCTCTCTCTCTTCCCCTCCTCCTGCTGGTACTCTCTTTAATTTAAGACAAAACAAAACAAAAAAACTAGACTTTTGACTCAAGAGTCTAAGGTTGTGTTTCTTGGAAAAGACTTAGGTTCTTGCCAGTTAAATGCAGGTCCATATGCCTTCAAAGGAACTAGCCAGAAAATAATCTTAAGATTTTCTAAGGCGAATTAAGAGGCCTAATCAAGATTCACACCTGAACGCATGGTATAATCTCTGTGCTTAGATATACTCAAGTAGATGGCCTGCTTTCTGTGTTTAGGTTATTCTGAGTTGCTGGCCTCTCCCTGCTGTTTGCACTTAAAACAGAGTCTGAAGGCTCGGCATCTCTGTTACAATGCTAAGTGTATTTTAGCTTCATATGAGGACCATTTCTCTGTGTCTTCATCCCCACTGTACTTTTGGTCCCTGGTGGACAGGGAATAGACTGTATTTTACTCTCGATTGCCTATACCAAATGATTTGTGTTTATAGCAACTTGGACTCACCAGTTCTTTCATATTCATACATCACTAGATTGTTTTATTTATTTTTTTAAATTTTTAAAATTGACAAGTTTTTTTCTCCTGTACCTTTTGTTTCATGTAATCCTGGTCTCCTTATCAAAATCCTGTATGTCAAATGACAATACTTTATTGCAAATAAAATAATTTACAATTATTTGTAAAAAAATTGTACAAAATTGTACCAAAAAATTGTACAAAAAATTTTGTACAAAAAATTGTAATACTAGTCTTAGAAGCAAGGATATTTCCCTGGCTTATACATTTACTGTTCAAATAACGCTGCTTGACTGTGATAGGCACTGCAGGCCTCCCTGTGCTTCCATAGTACTCCATATTTATCACAGACAAGTACAATGCAGTTTTTGTTTGTTTGTTTGTTTTGTTTTGTTTTGTTTTGTCAGCCTATCTCTTAGAGGGGATAGGGCACTGGGGGCCAGCCCGGGCGCTCCCTCTGCGCGGCCTTTCACAGGCACTGCTTCCTGAGTCCTGCAGCTTCATCACAATGGGCAGCTCAGGAAGGCTGGAGAAGGGCTCAATGCACAGGGCCTGGAGCCCTTCTGCTGGTGGACAGCTGAGTGGGGAGAGCTGGTCAGAAGGCCAGACCCACCCACCGTGCATGTGGCCACACCATCCAGTTGGTGAAGCCACACTCTCCCAGTGTCTTGTCGTCATCCAGATGCTGGTCATCCTTGCACAGTTACTGCTCATCGGATGGCCGCTTGAGGATGTCCTCGAGGATGTGCTTCAGCCCAAGCACGGTGCTCCACTCCTCAGTGTCCGTGAAGATGGTGGTCCTGTGGTTCTGGATTATGAGGAACCTGTCCCTGGGGTGGTGGGCTCCCCACACCCCCCAACCCCCCCCCCCCACAGGGTGGCCTGCTGCTCCTGGCCCTGGCCTGGCCAACACGATGTTTTCAGGCTCCCTTGAGCATTCCTGTTTACTTGCCTGTGTCCTACTTGGGGCGGGCAGTGAGGGGCAGAGAAGGTATCTTGTTAATGGTTGTAGTCCCAGTACCTGGCAGTTACAGAATCAAAGAAGCTGTATTGAATGAATGAGAGAGAGAGAGTGAATGAATGTAAGAAACTGCTAGGGTTATGGGATGCAAAGATGAAAAAGCCACTGTCCGTTGCTGCCTTGAGTCCTCTGACAAAATATTCTAAAGAACAAGTGCCTGATGTACAATAGACCAGCATTAGACTGTGCTGATTCAAAGAACCTGAAGTTGGGGAGATGCTGGGAGGAAATAGTGGGCTTTAGGAAGTGGAAGGTGGACGGTGCAAGCAGAATGGCTGTGGGAGCAACCCCAGGAAGGTCCAGGTTGGAGTAACTGCAGGAAGCATTAGGATAGAGAATTGGGGCACAGGATCACTATTAGCAATGGGGGAAAAGTGCACATTTATAAATGCATCATTGCCATAAAATAAGCCAAGAATAAGAAATACATCCCCATACTTTCATGTTACAGTGACAGTGAAAAGTACTCTCTGACCTGATCGAAATCTTGTATAGAATGACTTCCTTTATGATCCATTCCTTGCTATTCTTTTGGGGGCAGTGACTTTAGACAGTAGACTGTATTGAAGAGAAACAGATCCTTGGCCATTTTTGTCTGTTTTATCATGTGGTTTTCATCCTTGAGAAGTAATTTTTTGTGTGTTTTGTTTTTAATCACCAGGGAGCCTAAAGAAGGGGGTATGCCCATGGATATTTCTGTAGTGCCGTGCTCACTCCAGGTGAAGACCCCGGAAGGCTGCACAGAGCTCCAGCTTCCAGCAGAGGTCAGGCTTGTGCCTTCCTCCTGCCGAGGGCTGCGCTATGTCCCGGGAGAGGGACTGCACCTGCGACTGCAGGTGCGGGCAGAATCTGATGCCAGTGAGTGATCCCAGCGCTCCTCTTTCTGCATTTAGTTGTTCATTGTAGATCAAAGGTGATTTTTCCTTTGAAAAGTTGACCTTTTCCCAGATGAAAAAGCCTGTTCAGCAGCAGCATAGAAAGAGCCGGTCAGAAGGTTCTTTGTCAGCTCTGCCAGTTATTAGCTGTGCAGTTGAGCTTGCTGCTTACTTTTCTAGAGCTTTGTTCGGTGGCTGGGGGTAAAGGGGTGGTTAGTGGGTTTTTTTTTTCTTCTAGTAGATTTTATTTTATTTTTTTTAAATATTTTATTTATTTATTTGACAGACTGATCACAATAGGCAGAGAGGCAGGCAGAGAGAAGGGGGGAAGCAGGCTCCCTGCCGAGCAGAGAACCCAATGCAGGGCTCGAACCCAGGATCCTGGGATCATGACCCGAGCCAGAGGCAGAGGCTTTAACCCACTGAGCCACCCAGACGCCCCTAGATTTTATTTTTTAGAGTAGTTTTAGGTTCATAGCAAATTAGCGGAAGGCACAGAGATTTCCCACATAACCCCTGCTTTGTTTCTTTAATTGTGAAATTACCAAGCTCACAGTGTTGATAGGAAGATGAAATCAGATGGTAGTTGTGCAAGACTTGGTGGATTTTATTTTATTTTATTTTATAATTTTTATTTTTTATAAACATATATTTTTATCCCCAGGGCTACAGGTCTGTGAATCGCCAGGTTTACACACTTCACAGCACTCACCATAGCACATACCCTCCCCAATGTCCATAACCCCACCCCCCTTCTCCCAACCCCCCTCCCCCCAGCAACCCTCAGTTTGTTTTGTGAGATTAAGAGTCACTTATGGTTTGTCGACCTGGTGGATTTGAAAGTGTGACATAGAAATTCATCCAGTCAACAAATGCTGCCTTACATTGTGTGCTAGGCTTTGATCTAGGTACTAGGGATACACTCTGGGAACTCTGCTAGTGAACACTCTGGGAAGGCCTCTGCCTTTAGGAGAGCTTACGTTCTTGTGGGTGGGAACAGATAATGAACAAATAAGTTACTCGGATACAGAGAAAAGTGCTGTGGTCAAAGAGGAGCAGAATAATGGGGTAGGGAGTGACTAGGGTAAAAGGTGCTCAGGGAAGGCCCCTCTGAGGAGGGACAATATTTGCCCAGAGAACTGAGTGATGGAAATGATCCCATCCATGGAGAGACATTTTCAAATAGAACACTAGAGATACAGATTTTGAAATTGAGTTTTATGCATAATTTGATTTTGGTTATTGCTATGCCGGTTATATTTCTAGTATTTTGTTATTGCCAGGTTGAGTCAGTAAGATGGTAGAAATGTTTCTCAGAATAACTTATTGAATAAAATTATTGGCTCATTGCATCTCTTCCCATGTAAGTAATGTGCTTTAGAGAATTAAAAATGATGTGAAAGGGGAAATAGTCTATAACAGACCCGTGAGATGCTCATTATCAGGAAAGGATTATGATTCTTTCAACTGCGTTCTGAGACTTCGTGGCTGCCTCATCTATACTAAGCCTTTCATTTGAGCTTCGTGGAGTTTCGAGGTGGGGTCAGCAGGATGGTTTTGAAGAGCCATGTAGGAGATGTGGAGCATTCCCCCGAGTTCTGTGCTGCTTTTTTCATTGGAGAGTAATTTTTACTCAAGTCCTTAATCAGTGAATAACTAGTCTTGAGTTGGGCAGAGTTGGATTTAGGAATAAGGCATAGGGAACCAAAATGTCATGGAGCTTAAGTGACATATCCACATGCTAAGAATGACTACTGTAATAACCATGGAAAGAAGAATGGGGTCACCAAGATGGGAAATAGACTGATGATGGAAACTGGGCAAAGGTGGGCACAAAAGCCGCACTGGGGTATTTTCAGATCTGCTGGTTTTCTGGATTTGTGATTTTAGGTCCCATACTGAGGAGGTATGGGGTCTTCTTCAGACACAATTGGTTTGTTGCCTGCATGGTTAATAAATAGTAAAACTTGAACTATTAAAGAAAAGTTAAATCAGCAAGCAGGATTGTTTCATTGTAACCATAGGACAGAGTAAGTTGAGTGCTGATTGTTGGTTCGCATATTGCTTGATTCCATTGGTCTGCTCTGGCTTTACATTTTTAAAACATTTTACTCAAATATCTGAAAAGGAAGACTTTCAAAAGCCTTGTTCTGCAGTGCATGGAAGGGTATGCAAAATAGATCTCAGTACTTAATAGCCTTAGTGCTTTTTGCTTAATAGGTGGTGAGTAAATATTTGCTGAATGAATAAATATCAGACTGGTGCATACTGATGTTGATTTGAATCAAAATGTAGTGTATGAAGACTTGACATTGTTAGCATTCAGTTGTGTTTTGAGATTTTAAAAAAGTTGACTTTTCAACTGTAATTGTTCTTCTAAGGACTATAGTAAGCCTATTGTTGTGCTATTCTGAATGTAACGTAGGTCAGATCAGGACCCTTGACGTGGAAGTGGCTACATAAAGTCTAAGAGAGCACCAGCGTGGGATTCATCCCCAGGTGGCAGTACTCTCCCACGATGCCACCTGGTCTGGCAGTTCTGACTTGAACCTGAGCCGTGGGATCATGCTGGGTGACCAGCAGAGGGGAGTGTTTCACTGAAAATTTGTTTCTTGGTTCGGAAAAGACTATTCTGGATGACTTACCCAGGTCTACTTAATATCTCCTCAAAATTAAAGAACACCGTTTATTTCACCTCAGTGCTACAGGGATTGGCGGATACCCCCAGAAATTAAAAGGATGAATTTTTAATTGCCAAGGATTAAACTTTCTACCATCAGTCTTTAAAATCTTAACATACATACAAAGTAACATAAACCAAGTTCGAATTGCTTAATTCTAATGAGTATGACCTCATTCCTTTAAATTTTTTTTTACAGACATATTTTTGTGTGTGGATGTTTTGTTTTGGGGGAGTTTTTTGGGAAATGAAAGTTTCCTTTCTTCATGAATAAAATAATGGAAACTGAGGGAATGCTGTGCTTCACATAATGGAGGAAATAATATTTTTCCATAGCTTTAATCAGAAGTTGAGTTTTGCTCTTAGAAGATTGAATTCTTCTTAGGAGCCATTCCATTCCATTCCTAGGAACCCGCCCAATGAAGACCAGTTTCTTCTTGTTTGTATTTACTGGTGATCGGCCACAGTGGAATTAGACTTTGTTTTCATCAAATTAAACTTAAATTTAAGAAGTAGAAGCAGCAGTCACACTGATGAAAAACTGGATGTAGGACATAGCCAAGGAAGGCTGAGGATGGTGAGACCCCCTGTAGTTGGCTTGATGTGAAAGCAGTTGTTCCCTTTCTCCTTCCTTAATGTTGGTAGTTATGGAATGAGTGAAATAACGCATTGGTATGTTAACAGGCATAATCTAGGGCGATACCTAGCTCAGAAACACTTAGCAAAATCTGTTGTTTTTGAGAACACGTCACAATATTTGCTTCTGGTTGAGTCATCAGATAATGCTAATTAAATGTGTACTTCTGGGTGGATCGTAAACAATGTTTATTGATAGTAATGTATTGTGGCTGTTAAACTCTTCAAGTATGTTAATATATTTGTCCCACCCCTCTGAGATTTGCTCTTTCATCGATTTCTCTTTAGAACTGATTTCAATGTTTAATCAAAGCTCGCAAGCCCAAGGATGTTGCACATTTTATTGCCAGTCCTGCGGTGAAGTCATAATAAAGGACAGGTAAGGAATTTATTTTATGTTGATTAATTCTGTGCCTGGCAATGGTTTTCTTTTTTTCTATCAGAATTATTGAAGTAATTACCAGGGAAGCTGTATATGGCCTTAGAATGAGAGCCAGCTTAATGTCACTTTGAACAAAATCAACCATAAAACTCTCCAGCAATCATAGAGCAGTTAGGCCTTCTAAAGGTGATGGAGGGGAACATAGCATGCTGGTTTTGAGGGAGGAAGGCTTATCTTGATGGAAGCCTGTGCTGGTCACTGAAGCATGTCTCTTCTGAAAAGAGGCATGGGCTCTGGTGCATGTTTTATCCATCATGTTGGTGAATGAGGTTTGTTCCACATTAAGCGAATTTTCTAAATCCCAGAGGCTCTTGCAACGCATCTTTTTATTTGACCTATTTCTATTAGTCCCTTTCGAAAATCCATTTCCTATTTCCCTGCTTATTAAAACAGAGCATACAGAGCACAAATTAACCTTTTCTTGATGATTAGGTTAATCTTATTACCTGTCCTTGCAGTGTGCTGTGATTACTCTGTTGAGATGCGAAAAGGCCTTTTGCTATATTCTTTGTATTCCAAAGGTGTCTCTTTTTGTTATTTTTTCCATCTTCTCCTTTCCTTCTGTCAACCTACTTGTTTCCTGGGCACAAAGCCTTTCCCCTGAGTTTTCAGCTTCCACTCGTAGGTTGGAAAGACAGATCAAAACCTTATTGTTGTTAACCATCCTTAAAGAAAGAAGTTAGATTTTCTCATTAGATATGTTTCCTCTGAGATGAGTGCCTGAGACTTATCTGGGGATGGCTCCTTCTCCACTTCTGAAAACTCCTCCTCTTTCAGTGGTCCTTGTCTCAATGAACGCCAGACTCTACCTGCACAGAGCTTCCTCTCTCCCCTGGAATGTGCCCCACACCCCCTCTCTCCCTCTGGTTAGCTCCTACCTAAATTCATCTGACAGGGCATCTGTTGCCAGAAGCCTTCCCTGAACCTTGGGTTGGTTTATATGCTCCTCGCAGGTCTATTTGCCTGTCTTCCCATCTGAGCTACGGGCTCTGGGATGTTGGAATAGTCTTATTGACCTGTATCCCTGTATCCCTTACCTCCACTCATATTTAGAGTGCAGTGTAGGGTAGGGGCTAGTGGTAGAGACTCAGAAGCCAGACTGCTGGGGTTTGCATCCACCATTTACCAGCTGTGGCTCTGGGCAAGTTACTTAACCACTCCATGCCTCAGTTTCCCTATTCAAAAGTATAGCAGACAATAGGAGCTACCTCATGGGGCTGACGGTGATAAGAATAATAATTATAGCAGTAGCCATCATATACCGAATGCCTACTATGTGCCAGGCACTGCTATAATTATTATTCTTATCACCGTCAGCCCCTGCATCAGGCCACAGTGCCTCATGAATAGTGTACTCTCAATAAATTCTTCCTGGGTTGAATTGAATAAACAGTAGGATGTTTATTTTAGCCTTCCACCAGCCTCTCTTGCTTACTTTCTGATTCCTGGCGGTGCCCCAGGTAGATGAGATCATGGAAAGTTACCCTAGTATAAGTGGGGGGATTTTGAATGGAGCACCTCCGAGTGATTATCTTGGGTAGGAGATGAGGTGACCGAATCCACGGAAGAGAGGAGAATGTCCTTGCTCAGGTTACCTACGGGCTGAAGTTGCTGTAGAGTATGCAGTCCGTGACAGACCCACTGTAGCCTGAAATGTCTGGAGGATTTCACTTCATGTTGTAGTTAAACTCAGAAACTTGTGCTTCTCTCAGTATGTTTCAGGCTTTGGTTGAATTCTCACATGAAGTTTCTGGAACATGCATGCCTATATAACAATGGGGGGACCTAGTAGTCACAGAAAGAGCAAGTGAAGTGCAGTGTAGCCCTGTTTCCTTGTACTGCTCCCCATAAGGGCTATGCTCATTCATTATTGGCCGATATTTGTGTTTCCTCGGAAAGGGATGATGATATAAAAAAATGGTTACCTGTAGCGATTTTTCCCATGCAGCAACTAAATCTTCTGTTTTTTTTGTCAGTCCTTTTTCTGATCGTGGAATTGAGAAGGCCTTACAGGTGAACCCGGAGGGACAGTTTCACTCTCCCTAACCATGACCATCTGGAGGCTGAGTGGTGTAAAGCAGGAGTGGGAGAATGCGACCTTGGGTTTGAACTCCAGCTTCACCACTGAATAGCTGGGGAGCCTTGTCCATGTCACCTCAGCCACTTCTCAAGTTGACTTGAGTCTTCTTCGACATGTCAGGAGGCTGAATCTTGGCGATGGAGAAAACTTAGGAGCTTATTTAGGCCTAACTTCCATTCTAAACAGGAACTCCTGTTGGGTTTCTTCCTCTTCTTTGTAGAAATTCAAACCTGACCTATCACTTCCTGCTTAAAATTCTGTAATGCTTTCGATTTGTGTTTCTTCTTAAGTAGACATAATAAGGCCTGTTTTCCAAACCTGTCAGAAGAATTAAAGGCTGTCATATATATGATAGCAAAAGCTTGACAAGCTCTTTTGAGTTGGTTTTATAGACTCCTTCCATCCCCTTTTGCATTTTGGTCTTATTAGCAAACCAGCAAGTTATCTTGTTTAGTGTGTTGGGTCGTTTTGATTCAGGACTCTATTTTTAAGGTGTGCCAGGGAAATGACCTTCCTTTCTCCCTTTTTCTTTCTGAGAAGATAAACATTGACTTGACTTGGCTCTTGCCTCACTTAAACAAGGCTTACCTGAAAGCCTTTTCCTGTCACACCTGTGTGTCTGGCAAGTGTATGCCTCTTGAACAATGCAGAAAAATCTTTAGTAGGAGATTCAAGACTTTGCTTACATTTCACTCTTGGGCAGCATGCCCCATGCCGGTTTGTTGGAAAAACAAGCATCCTCCAGTATCTGCACAAGGACTTCATGTTGACTTTTTGCATTAAACCCAGTGGTCTTCTCATTTTTCCCTCAGTTATCTGTTTTATGTGGGTGGTAAGGACAGCTTTTGTGCTTGTTAAATAGAAGACAAAACCCAAAGAGGTTTATGTGTCCTATAATCAAACCCAACTAACTGTAAGCATCTTTTCCAGGAGGGCACCTTGGGTTAGGTTGATTTATCTGTACCAGGAACTCCTCTGATAAGCAGGTGGAGGAGAGTTAAGATCTGCATACTGACTAGCCTTAATATCTAGGAACAAGTCACTTTAATTTTCTAGGCCTCATTTTGCTTATCTGTAAAGTGAGTTGAATTAGATACAACTATAGGAGTCCTACCAGCAGAAAATCCTATGATGAGTGAACCGCGTAAAGTTGTACCTTGGGTTCTGTGATTGATGGTCATTTGGAAAGTGCAAGACTAATCCTTGTTCCTTTTTTTTCCTTTATTGAAATTATTCTCATCAAGCAAATTATAGAAATAAGGTACAGAGGACTGTTTAATCTATTAAGACTCATTGATGGCTTTTAATACCTGTTAGAATCAAGGTGCATGAAATCTGCTAATTATAGCAATCTTTTTTTCTTAATTTAGGAACATGTGATTTTAGCCATCTGTTTTGGTCATTTGAAAATAGATAATGCCTCATTTCCTTACCATAAAATTCTCCAGTTTACATTTTTACTAGTTCAGAGTATTTGTATAAAAATTGTCTTAACTTGGGCACCTGGGTGGCTCTGTCAGTTAAGCATCTAACTTGATTTCGGCTCAGGTCATGATCTCAGGTTCATGAGAGCGAGCCCCATGTTGGGCTCCATGGTCAGTGTGAAGCCTGGATCGTCTCTCTCCCTCTCCCTCTGCCCCTTCCCCCACTCTCCCTCGCTAAAAAAAAAATTGTCTGAACAGGTACAGTTTTTGATTATGCTAGGCCCTAATACCAAGTAATAATAATGACAGAATTTACTTTTTTGAAAAATAGTCTCAGAAACAGCTGCATGTTCATCGTGTTTAGAATTTGTTTCTCCTAGAAATAAATTTATGCCAGATGTGAGTTACATACATCAGTTGGCCAAACAGACTTTCAGACATAAAAGCTTTTGATTTTCAGTCCATTTGTGAGGTCTCCTAAGGTCTCTGGATAGGCCTTCCTCATTCCACTTGCACCAGCAGAGCTGGATGTCAGCCAGCAGTTAGGGAGGCTTTGAGAACTCTAGAAGGAAACAAGTAGAATGGACTTTATGGAAACATAAGAGATGTCAGAGTATCCAACCATTTGGTCCACTTGACAGGCCAGCTATAATTACAGTCTGAAACTAACTCCTCCTATGAATGCAGTCACTTTTCTTTGAAAGAGAACAAAGAAGGGGAAAATGAGTCCAGGCACAAATTAGATTGTTGATAGCATTTTTGGGGAAAAAATGATACTTTTATGAAGTCTAATTGTACTATGTACATAATGGTAATAAAATGTAAATTTGGTTCATAGGATTTGTTGTCTAACAGTCGGGCATTACCAGTTGAAGTTATCTAAATTTCAGCAGCCATATTTTGAGCTTTACATATTTGATGTTGTTCTTAAGATTCTTAATGTCCACTTGGTCACAGTCTGTGAAGGCTCTATGTGTGTTACCATTGTTATTATCACTGAGTAATGGTTAATTTTAAAGTTGAGGGGCATTTCATTTTCTTGTCTACATGTTTAGCATCATCAATCAATAGCATTGATTAACATCGTGTATTTTATTTGTCCCTAAAGCTTGTGGTTAAGATGCATTAAAAATAACTAGCAAATTTTAATTTATTGCAAGCATGTGTTGTTGTTCATGTTATTTTAAGTTAAGAGATAATTCAAGAAATCACTTTACTCTTTTTCTGAGCTTCAGCAGGTTTTTACCTAAAAACTGCCTTGAAAAAAATGGTATCTATTTTATTTTGAAAGTTCTCTTGGGAAGTAGATCATATCAGAGTTTCAGAGTTTTCGACAGATATACTTCGAGTAGAGATGTGATTATAATACATCCTTTCTTCTAAAAGGTTTTAAGTTTTTCAAAATACCAGAAAAATTCTTTCTGTTGTAAAAA